TATGTATTTTCAAAATAACAGATTGCTTATGGATTCGGATGAAGAAATTGCATTTTTCATTTTACTATGTTGCTATTGGTTCAATCTAGCATCCAATAGAATTGGAAGGGCAGTTGATAACGATTCGGAAATGAGCAGTCATCAACATACACAATAATTGTTACATGGAACTTCTACACAATGTCATGACCTAATGCGTCTTTCACGTGAAGCGTATGTACTTTTATGCAATCATTTTAGACGAAGCAATTGGTTGCAAAGTAGTAGACATATAAGCGTTGAAGAAAAGATGGCTATGTTCTTGACAACTATAGCACATAATAAACGATTCAGGATTATCAAACGAGGGTTTCAACACTCTACAGAAACTGTTCATAGATGCTTTCATGAGGTGCTAAATGCAATGATGATTTTTGCAAAAGAAGTTATAGTGCCAACGAATTCAAATGCAACTGTCAATTCCTCAGAGAGACATCGTAGGGTAAAAGAAATATTTCCTGGAGCAATAGTTGCGTTAAATGGAACTCTTGTACATGCAGTCGTGTCTGCTGATCAACAAACTCGCTACAGGGGAAGAGGAAAAGGTGAATGCTTTCAAAATGTGTTAGGAATTTGTGATTTTGATATGATATTCACATTCGTATGGGCCGGTGGGAGGGCATAACACATGATTCACTAGTTTTGAAAGAAGTTGTATTTAACTCGACCTCAGGCTTTCCATTCCCTCCTCCAGGTTTGTTCAATTCTTTTCAAATTTATTATAAAATAGGATTTTAAATTTCTATACATAATACTTCATTCACTCATGTTTATAGATAAATATTACCTTTGCGATGTTGCATACACCAACACTCGTGGATTTATGGCTCCTTACCACAACACGAGATATTGGTTATCCGATTATCGACGGCGACGTCCGTTAACTAAGGAAGAAAAATTCAGTCATGCACATACGCAACTCAGAAATGTTATTGAACGTGGATACGGTGTTTTGAAGGCGAGATTCTCAATCCTAAAGCGAATGGCTCCTTTTCCATTTTCAGTGCAAAGAGATATAGTTGTCGCTTGTTTTGCAATCCATAATTTCATAAGGAAGTGCAATATTCATGATGAGTTATTTATGGCATTCGAGGAGAACAATGGTCACACACAAGGGGGAGAGAATGATGGCCAAAATATAAACGATATGGAATGGGGTTCACAAGGCAATGAATACATGGATAGTTTGCGTGATCAGATTGCGAATCAATTGGGCTAAATTTAAATTTATAGGATCTTATTTGGATTTTAGTATGATTGGGTGGATTTAAAACTATTTATGTTTGATTTGGATTTGTGTTTAATTTTAAATTTATGTTAAATTGGGATTTTATATGGTGTTTATATTTTTTTGATACCTATTTAAGAAATTTATTAGGTTATTTTCTAAACAAACACTTGAATTCAATAAAAAATAAAACAGAATAGTAAAATGGTCATTTTAATAATTCAGCACAGCAATTCAGAGGTCTCAACCAAACAGCATGTTAAACATTCAGCTCTTAAAATTTCAGACCCTCTTAGAAATTTAAACCTCTTAAAAATTCAGATCTTAAAAATTCAGATCCTGCCAAACAGCCCCTTAAATTGATATATTGTTGGGAATTTAAAATTTTTGTATTAAACTGTAAATTTATTGTAATAAACAGTGAATTTTACGTATTAAGCTATGCTTTTTGTATTTTAAACTTTGAATTAGTTGCATTAAGTTGTGAATATTTATTTAAATTGTGAAATTGACTATATTAAACTATAATTTTTTTATATTAAACTGTGATTTTTGTGTTTAAAAATGTGAATTGACTACATTAAACTATGAATTTTCTGTTTAAACTATGGATTAGCTGTATTTTGTTGTGAATTATTTATAATTTGTGTTAAAATATGAATGATTTATGTATAAATTTATGTTTTAATTTTCTTATGAATATATATTTATTTATTTTTTTGTTGTATAAATTTGTAAGAATCCATTAGTTTTTATAATTGTTTTGCGTTAAATTCAAAACGAGTGAATTAATAGGTTTTATTAGACTATGAATACAATATTTAAGTTGTTAATGCATGACTTTATATACATATCTGATTTAGAAGAAATGACGACTACTATGTTGATACAGATGGTTGGTAGCAAAATGTGGTGGTAGAATTTGAGTTTTTGACTTCTTTGAATTAATGAATTATTGTAAAACTGGTTGTATTAAGTTGTATATTTTTTGCATTAAACTATAAAAGAACTCGATAAATATGTATTTTATATAAGTTTTTATGTTAAAATATAATAGCATATACGGATAAAAATATTTGACTGTAAAAATTATAAGTTTGTCTTTTCTTACCAAAAACACAAAAAGTTGTGATTTTAACATGTTTAATAAGAGTATCGTGTAAATCTCCTTATTCTAATAAAAGAGTAGTTTTTAATCTCCTTTTGACATGTGTCACCATATTAAGTCTCATAATTAATGCAATTTTTTTTTGTCATGTTTTACCTTATTATATTTTATAATTAATGCATACCATTTGTCAACATATTGATTCTCCATTTCAAATTTCAAATTTTAAATTTCTCATTCTAATTACACTAAATTAACAACATTTGAATTAAAATTAAAATAAAATTAATACAAATTATAAAATAATATAATTTTACATAGTTATTTAAATCAATGATTATAATTTTATATAACTAAAAAAACTTCTTAATTAATAATTTATTTAAAAAAAGTTATTAATAATTTTAAATTTTAACTATTAAAGTTTAATTAATTTTATAATTATGGTTCTCATAGGTTATAAACTAGTATTTAATAATTAATTAGGATTATGAGGTTATTAATCTTTTGTGGTTATCATTTGAATCTCTCTCTCTCTCTCTCTCTCTCTCTCTCTCTCTCTCTCTCTCTCTATATATATATATATATATATATATATATATATATATATATATATATATATATATATATATGGGTTAGGTTATTTTGTTTTTACTAACTATTGTGTGCCATAATGCACAGATCTGGACCATTAGATGGAATATAATCAAAGGTCATGATCTGAGGGTCTATGATAGTAGAATAGGATAACATGTACCATATAATCACACAAATTTGAACATAAGGGCATTCTAGTCAATTAACCTATATTAAAAAAGAAAATTTTCGGATTTTTAGGGATAATTAATTCCTTTATTTTTAAAAATCTAAATATTTTAAATTAATTTAAAATTAAAAATCCGATTTTTATTCTGTCAGAATGATAGAATATTAACCATAAAGTAGTAAACATATTTTTTGATTTTATTCTGTCAGAATGACAGAATGTCAACCATAAACTACTAAATATATTCTGAAAGAATACACAAAATCGATTCTTGAACTAATAATATACCAAATAATTACATTGTACGATTGTGATTCATTGAATTATAACAAACATTCTGAAAGAATAACAAGTATAATTCTTAAAAAATAACAACATTCTAGATGTCTTGTGTATGTTTGACCTCTAAGCCAATTCAAAATATGCTAGCATTCTATGAGATTGATATTTTGTGACATTGACATTCTGTCAGAATTGGATTGCATGAGAGTGATTTTATACAAGGAGTCTTTCCCATCAGGTCTTCAAGCCATTCTTCCAAGCCATTTCGATCACAAATTCATTGCCAAATACTTTGTAGTGATACACTTCTAACAACTGCACATTAAACATATAATTAATTAACTACAAGTTCTATCAGAATAAAGCAATAATATTCTTATATAATAAACTATTCTTTCAGAATGGAAATATTATAAAAAGGTAAACAAGGTCAAAGCTATGATCAGCCCATATGTATGTTTGCTTCAACATCATAAACATAAGGACAAGTCAGTTTGCTTCAACATCAAATCTATGATCAGGATAGATATTTGCTTCAACATCATAAACATAGATTGAATCATCTATACTTCAAGCTACAAGTTCTTTGCCATCAAAGAATGGTGTCTCTGAATTTCTGAAAAAAATAAAAAAATTACAAAAACCCAACTCAAAAAACTTAATCAAAGATCAATAAAGTTCATGTAAACTTACCAGCATCTCCTCATTAACCGGTGTTCCATTACTAACCATGAATACAATCCGAGACTGTCATATTTCTCTTTGGCATTTCATCAAACACTTTAAGGGTGCTCCCTAAATCACCAAATTTTCTATGAATCATGAATGAAAAAAATACCAATTCAGAACCAGCAACATCAAATGAGTTACACAGGAGGGTATACCTCCTATGTTCGGTTTCCATGCGATCGAACAAAAAAAAAACATAAATGGTTATGTGGCTTCGGTTTTGATTGAACTGATAATATTTTAGAAATATAATTACATACCTATGACTGGTGAGTATAAATCATTGTATTCTAGGATCGGTCCATGGATTTGGAACGAGAGAGATAAAGATAACGACTGTAAAATAAGATCGAATAAAGCCTGAATATTGTTGAAGGTCCTTGCAGGCGGTGGTGCAAATAGGTACATGGAAGAAGCAGGGTGCGAGACAAGAGGATACATCAATTGTAGAAGAAGAAGCATAATCGGCGATGGTGAGCCGATGATGAATGTGTTCAGCCCCAAACATAACTATGTCAAATATATTAACTTTATTTCCTTAATTGAATGAATTCAATTAAATCATTTCCTTAATTATAAGTACCAAAAGTCTAAAATACCCTTTAATGATTTAATTAACTCTTTATTATTTCTTGAATTCTCATTGGTGCATTTAGGCACACAATAGTTGCTAAAAACATTTGAACCTAACTCATATATATATATATATATATATATATATATATATATATATATATATATATATATATATATATATATATATATATATATATATATATATATATATATATATATATATATATATATATATATATATATATATATATATAGTCATGGAGCTGTTAGAAGTGAAGTATGATGGAGCCAAGAAGCAAAATGAGAATCTCTTTCTTCATTGTTATGTTCATACTACAATCGCGCATGTTACCTTTTTCACATTCGAAGTCAATCGTGAAAAACCTCCCTGGCTTTTCAGACGAGCTTCCATTTACACTTGAAACCGGGTATGTATGCACCTATCTACCGAGATCTTTGCTCTTCAAATTTCAAACATCACCTGCTTCGTTCAAAATCTTCTTAAAACATGGTCTTGTCGACCTCTAACCAGAAAAATCTCAGCTACGGGTTTTCAAAATTTGAACTGCCAAAAGAGATTGCTTATTACATTACATGTTTTTTCTCCATATAGATATTATGATGAGTTTATATAACGCCAAATGAACTTTACAACAGAAGTTTCCCCTTGAATATGGTTTCTAGGGATTTAGAAAAAAGTTAATCGGATTGAATTTGTGTTTTCAAGTTATGTTGGAGTCGGAAAAGACGAAGAAGTGCAATTATTTTACTACTTTGTGGAGTCTCAAAGAAATCCGCAGAAAGATCCGTTGCTCCTTTTTCTCACCGGTGGTCCCGGAACTTCCGGCCTTCTTGCCTTCCTCTTTCAACTGGGTATGTTTTTTATTTGGCTTCACATTTATTTAAAATTTTGTCTAATTACTCTAAACAGGTAACAATTTGGAAAACTAAAAGCTACAACAAGTTTAGCGACTTTAAATAATGAAATTTCCCAAACATTTGATTTTGTAGTTTCATCAAACACTTGTCTTTGTCAAAAAGTTAACAACGTTTAGCTTCGGAATGAGGAATTTCTATATGCATAATAAGCAAAATAGATAGTTAGATATAGGGAGAAGAAAATAGTAGATCTGAGATCCACTGACTCTATGTTTCCTATTGGCCACATGTTTTTTTTGGAACGCAATCAAATATATTTAGATTTTATCGATAATCCATAATCTTTGTCAGAATGTTTTCAATTCATACCCTACCAAAAACAAAAAAAGATTCACTAAAAATAATTATTTATGTCATTGTCTTTTTAATATTTTTGAAATTGTTATTAACACAAATGATAATAATAAGATACTATAATAAAATATCAATTCCAAATATCTACACAATTGAAAGTTTAAGGCTTATTTTGTGTCATAAAAATTTTGTTATAAATGATATTGTGAAAATAAATATTAAGTTATGTGTTGTGTGTTATGTCGACTTAATTTCTCTTCATTTGTGTTGAGTCCAAAGTCAATTCAAAGATACATTGCAATGTGTATTATTATCGTTTATCATTTTTATCATTTGCTATCATATAAAACATTATATTCGATGAACTTTTATTGTAGGCCCACTTAAATTCAGATATGCGGATGCAAGGAGAAGTAAAGTAAATTTGGATGTGAACCCATATTCATGGACAAAGGTTAGCGTTATTTACTCGTGGGTATATGTACGCATAGCTTCATCATATATGTTTATAACTAAGGTGTCATTACAAAAACACACAAAGGTTTAAAAAATGCATCAGTTATAATTCTAAAAATATACATAAAAGCAAAAACAGGTTGTAAAAAAAATAATTATATAAAGATGGTAAACGATAGAAAATCTCATATATAAACAGGAAAATTGTGCATGATAATGGGCCACAAAACACCAAAAAGTTAAAAGAAAGAAGTGTTTGGGTGATTTTTTAAAAAAAGAGGAGTCTAGGAAGAAATGAGTGTCGTGTGATTTTTCAAAAAAGAGAAGTCTAGGGACTATTTCTATAACTTGGATGGTTTGTGAATAATGGAGAAAAACATAGGGGCATTTAATTTGCAATGTAATTCAAGTCAAATGTAAGTTTTTTTTAAATATTAAGGCGATAATAATACTCGTACATATCACTACTCCTTTCCAAAACCTTTAACATATCCTCTATAATAAATAAAGGTTTTTTTTGTCATTTACCACACTCTCATTTAATTTGTTAAATATCATTTTGTGATTATTTTGAATTAATTTTTTTTTTCCAAATGTCATTTTATGAGTTTTCTATTTTATTAAACTAGGTGTGAGACCCGTATACTATACGGGCTGATTAATAAAATAATTATATATAAAATTTTGAATATTAAGTATTTTAAAAAAAACGTTAAATATCAAAGTGTAAAAATAAATATTTTTTAAAGTGAAATTTCAAAATATATACAAACAAAATGATGAATAAATAAATAATTCAATTTATACTAATAAACTACATAAAAATAATTATATTTTGGACACAACCATTTTTTTAGTTTATCAATGAAAAACAACAAAGTTTGATTATTTTTTACATGTAGACTATTTTGCTTAAAATGACAATGAACTTTGAAAGAAAAATATCAATTTTGAATTATATATATTGAAGGAAACATATTAAAATTTAAAAATATAAAGAAACAAATTAATGGCACATTAATCCTTATACTAATAAAAGAGTAGTTCTTTTGTCATGTATCATCATATTAGACTTTTTAATTAATGTATTGTCACTTGTCAATATATTAATTTTCCATTTTAAATTTTTTTTATCTCCTTATTAATATTATGCTATTTGTCAATGTATTTATTCTCTATTTTAAAATTTAAATTTTATATTAATGTGTTCATTCATTCACAAATAAAAAATATCTAATATATATTAAAAATTAATTTTACATATTTATTTGAATCTACGATTATAATTTCACATAACTAAAAAAAATATCTCTTAAATTAATTATTTATTTAAAATAACTGATTAATAATGTTAACTTTTTACTATGAAAGTTTAATTAATTTTTATAACCGTGGTTCCCACGGGTTATAAACTAGTTACTTTATATAACCTAAAAATTCGAATAATTAATTAAGAAAATCAAAAATTACAACAAAATGACAAGTGGAAATTAATTTCTAAGAATTAACCACAAAATTACATGTGTCAAAATAATAAAAATGTAACATGTGGCAAAAAGATTTTCATTTATTAGTATGGATTCAAATGTAATAATTGCAATAAATATATTAATAAATGCATATCAATTTTATTAATGAGCTTAACTTTAAATTTCAAATTTTTCAAAATTAAAGCCATTAATTTCGTTTATCTAATTAAATATAAAAGATAAAAAACATTTCTATTATAATAATTCATTATTTTTCTTATTTTTTTATAAATTCAAAGTTCTCAAATATTTTAACTTTTATATTATTTTTTTTTAATTAATCCATGTAATATATGGGTCTTACTGACCAGTGATATCATATTAAAAGATACTTTTATTAATCAGAACCAACCATAAAACATGACATAGTTTGTATTCATATTCAACGAAGTAACAAAAAATAGCTATAAAACTCTAATGATTTCAAGAAGGAAAACATAGAGTTCACAGAGAACAAACTTTAATCAACGGACCAAAAGAATAGAAAAAGGAAGAAAGAATATTTCAACAAGTGTAAGAGTGAATTTCTGATGAATGACCAAACATATACAACATCACTTCGATATATACTTTGCGTCAATCACGGGTCGGACTATGGATAGACCTGTGGGTATGTGTGTTCACACACATACTGAGTTCCATAAGGGATAATGACTTGGGAGGGTAATAAGGTTTTCAGCTTGTCCGTATTAGGTCACTGAGGTTTTTTTTGTGCGTATTAGACCAATATAGTTGTTATTACCGTTTAGAAATAGTCTTTTTACCGGTTTTAATGGGTAAAAATGACTATTTCTAAACGGTAATAGCAACCATATTGGTCTAATACACACAAAAAAACCTTAGTGACCTAATACGGACAAACTGGAAACCTTATTACCCTCTTAAGTCATTAACCCTAATTATTTAGAAAACATGCTTACTAATCAATGTGACTGATTTGTTTGATTGAAAATAGTTGCTTCCATTTAAACTTATCTCACAACCCTTCCAGAACTTCTAAGTCCAGAAACTCATATGATTGATGATCTTCATTACATAAATATGCAACATTTTATCAATAACTTCTTTTTTGTCATTTAAATGTTTACATGAACACATCCATATGTACAAAAACAAAATATCACTTTGATACCTCCCATCAATGTCTACATTTGATAACTAATGGAAATGTAAAACCAACAGGGACTTGCAGATGATGCCTATTATTAATTATTTTATAAAAAGCAAAACCACAACATGAACTAAGAAATTGAAGTTGCAAAATTAATCAAAATCAGCACATAAACAAACACATACAGACTATATACAACACATAAACGGAAGTTTATAAAGCATGAAACTTAATGACAGGAAAAGTAAAAAACTTAAAGGAGACTTTATAGAAAGAAAAATCACTCTTACTTGCCACAAATGGTTGAAGACATCAACAAGAAGATCAATCTGACCATAGAATCCACATGTTTTCTGATTATGACTTTAGTAGATGAACTACTGAAACGCAAGAAATGCAATTGAACTCTATTAGCATTTAAAAAGGGAATTAGGGTTAAAAAAAATTGGACCATTTCTTGTTTGTGTGTGTCATCCTTGCGTAGGGGCCATGCTAATCTTCTCTGTATCGTTCCAATTTTATCGGATGTCCCCAAAGGGACGACTATAGATGAAGAGCTTCGCCATATAGAGGAGTAGCAGGTTATATGGGACGACGCGAGTTCTAAACGAAGTAGTTTACTGTTGATGGTCATATATTCTCAATGTCTTTAAAATTAGGGTTAATGACTTAGGAGGGTAATAAGGTTTCCAGTTTGTCCGTATTAGGTCACTAAGGTTTTTTTGTGCGTATTAGACCAATATGGTTGTTATTACCATTTAGAAATAGTCCTTTTTACCCATTAAAACCGGTAAAAGGACTATTTCTAAACGGTAGTAACAACCATATTGGTCTAATACGCACAAAAAAAACCTTAGTGACCTAATACGGACAAACTGGAAACCTTATTACCCTTCCAAGTCATTATCCGGTTCCATAATAGTCAGCCTCGGTCCTTGGGAAATCACAAGTTGCTAGAAATAGTCCATCAATTTTAGCTCATCTACATCTTTAGAATACTCAGCCCAATCCATTTCTTAGCCCATCAACATATCACTTTGATCCATGAACATCATCCTCACACATGAAAAAGTACAATGCACGTCCATTAGAAAATAAACCTAAACAATTATATGCCTAAAGCGTTTTATCTATTACAAGTAAGATTGGAGGATTCTATAATATTTTTTTAATAATTGCATCATGTAACAATCTAAAGTTTTTTGTGTATGTTGTAGACAGCTAACATCATATTCATAGATCAACCTGCTGGTGCTGGATTTTCATATGCTAAAACATGGGAATCATCAAGGAGTAGTGATTCTCTTGTGATTACTAATGTGTATGCTTTTATAAGACGGGTAAGGCACACACATAAAACGCATTAGTTTACCATGATACTTTAGTATGTCAATCTTTCCTACATAAAACTTGGTATGTTCATTTTGCAGTGGCTCATGGATCATCCGAAGTTTCTCAGCAATCCATTGTACATTACGGGGAGTTCTTATATGGGAATTATCATTCCAAATGTCGTTTTAAAAATATACAATGGTACAAAAATTTGTAGTTTTAGTTCAAAATTAATTACATCATGCTTTTAACTAAAAAAAAAAACAAAAAAACGAGACCACCGTCTTGAAAACATTCTTTTTACCATATTTGTATTTTGTAGGTAATGAACAAAGCATTCAACCAAGATTAAACATCAAGGTATTTATCATATATATCTCACATAAGCTTGAATAATAAACATTTTACTTTTGTTGTAATTCTTATGGACTTATACTCATGTCATCATGTACTTGATTTGGTATAGGGTTTCTTGATTGTGAACCCTCTTACGGATAAATTCATAAATTTCAATACACGAGTTGAATTTGCTTATCGAGTTGGGCTTATAGAAGATGAACTCTACAAGGTACTATACATAATATATATACATGGCTCGTTTAGTGTATTTAATATAAAAACTGAAATGTGATTTGTTATTTTGTAATCTGGATTTGTCAGCCAGCGAAAAAAAACTGTGGAGGTAAATACGTATACGTCGATCCAAACAACACATTGTGTTTGAATAGTCTTCAGCCCTTGAATGAGGTGAGTGATGATTAATATACAATTAATTGAATATGTTCTAAATAATGATATATTATTAACTCATGATAATTAATTAAACGTTTTCACTTGCAGTGTCTATCTCGAATTAACGTAAATAACATCTTAGATCCCCTTTGCGATGCACAAGCTCCAAAATCCATCTGTCCAGTAAATCATAACTATAAACATTTTTTTTTCAAAACTAGTTAATGCATGACACGTGTACACATACTAATTAATATCATGTTTTTCTCTTTATATGTAGGAATCCATTTATTCTTATTCTAATATTTGGGCAAACACAAAAGAAGTCCGACAAGCTCTACACATTCGTGAGGTAATCTTAATATATATATATATATATATATATATATATATATATATATATATATATATATATATATATATATATATATATATATATATATATAATAGCCAAAACATAATATAATATTACGTACCTTTTTCTTTTTCATTATAGCTAGGAATCTTTTTTTTAATGTACAGGGTACAGTGGATAAATGGCAATATAGGAACACAAGCATTCATGCTTTATTGGGGAAAAACGACACCGTAGTTTACTCCTACAATATCTTCAGCAGTGTAGCCTCCCATAAGCAACTTACTACCAAAAACTGTTATGCTTTGATTATCAAGTAATCTCTCTCTCAAACTTGTATCTAATTTAATTATATATGCTTGAGGTTTTGAATGTATTATATATGAAATAAGAAAAGATAAGTTTTAAATTTGGTTTATATATTTCTAGTGTATTTGAAAGGTTACTGAATTGATTTGCACTTGCAGTGGTGATCATGACATGACGTTTCCATATATGGGCACGAAGCAATGGATCAATAGTCTTAATCTTAAAACTGAAACCACATGGAAACCATGGTTTGTTAGCAGTCAAGTTGCAGGGTGAGTTCAACAACTTTACTTTCTAATGTTTGTAGACATCTTCCTACTATATATTAATTAGTTTAAGGATATTGTTTTTTCATGTTTAATCTCATGGTTATTTTATTATGAAGTAACAAATGCAGTAGGTGGAAATCAAGTTCATTGGTAATAATCGAAAATTGGCCATTTTCTTGTTATGTAGGTATCAGAAGACATACTCAAAACACAAATACTCTTTGAAATATGCGACTGTTAAGGTAAGAAGTTGTAACGTATTTATATATATGTGTGGGCGTTTCAAGATTTTGTTAAATTATTTTTGGAAGGATCATGCTTTAAAAAAATCCAACCAGAATGCTTTTCTTTATATCAAAATCAAATATAATGGTGATTTTGATTAAAATTTAAAATGCAATTGCAGGGTGCGGGTCATTCAGTGGCATTGTACAAGCCGGAAGAATCTATGGTGCTTATAGAAACATGGCTTGCTTCTCATTCCAATTCTACAAAATAAACTTTGCTAGCTAGGCTCTTTAAATAATTAACAACGTTTAGTTTGTTATTTATTTATTGGACTTTTTATGTATCATGCATTGTTTCACTCTCTCTATGTATAATGTATCATAGTTGTTGGCTGACATTTCAAGACATGAAAATCAATAAAATATGATTTAAACTTTGGAATATTGAGATGTGACACAGCTTCCGTTATGGAGTGAGGGCAATCATTAAGATCCGTTTAATAGACATCTTTCCAGGTTCAAACAGATATTTTTGGTTGAATTGACCGGAAAGATTGTTTGATATGCACAGAAAATAAGTCTTTCCTGGTAAGATAGGTCTTTCTCAGAAAGCTCCAAAACCATATCTTTCTAGTTGAATAGATTGGAAAGACAACCGTACCCCAACCCCCGCCTCTTTCTTTCTTGGATTATTAATTTCTTTTAAATAATTTTTTTACTTCTTTTTTATTAAATTATTACTTTTTTATTGTAACAACCCAAAAAAATTTAAAAGAAATTCAAACTTTTCAAAACCATCTTTACACAATTAAAAGTTATTCAGCATCAACAAGTTCTAATTGTTTTTCAAAATGTTTTCATATCAGAGTTTCCAAAATCCAGAATCATAAAAACGGGGATGTGTACGTCACGTCTTCGTCTTGCCATGGTCAACTGATGTACCTGAAACAATAAACGACAAAAAGTAAGCTCGAAGGCTTAGTGAGTTACCCCCAAAATACCAAGCTCTAGCATTCATCGCAAAAGAATAATAATTAACAGCATGCATAATGAGTCTTCAGTCTGACTAGACCGCCTCCTACGGGCCTACAGCCTATCTGGACCGCTCTCGAGTCTTCGGCATGACTGGACCGCCTCCTACGGGCCTACAGCCTATCCGGACCGCTCCGGGTATGTTGGCCTCAACCGCACAAAGCAGGACACCGCCTCAACCCAACCCACCCATATATGTCGACATATAAATAGCACATAATCATACAATAAACACAGATCATACTAACGGCTAACATAGTAGCATTCTATCCATCAAGTTACCAACCCAAGTGATCATGAATATGGAACACATACTAATACCGGGAATAAATCCCAAGGGACCGACCTAGTGTCGTAGACCTTGATGGTATAGTCAGGATAACTCACCTTGCAATAGTGCAGAACTGAACTGAGAGTCTTCAACTGCTATGCTCGACACCCTCGACTAAGAGATAAAAGAATACGAATTACTCAACTAGACCCAAATTGTCCAAATCTATTATTGGCCCAATTTATTAAATGGGGCCCATCACTCTATTGGGCCTACACGTAACCTACAAGTCCAACTTGGCCCATTAAGGGATTAACCCAATTGACCCATAATCGGCCCATAGCGTAAAGCCCACAAGCCAAAAGTCCAACAGGGAGCGTACGCAGGGCGTACCTCCCAATTACGCTGGGCGTAGCATAGATCTTCGCTGACCACCATCGGGAATGTTGACCACGTACGCTGAGCGTACAGATATTACGCTAGGCGTACCCACGGATTTACCAAAGTCTTATTAAGTGCTTAATGGGTTGAGCTCTTGAACCCATATTCCAGATCCATCGACCAAATATGTCATAGAATCATAAAGTTTTGGACTTTATCACATTGGACGTCCAAAAAGTCCTTAACTCATAGTCTTAATCTATCAAGACCTTCTTATCACATGCATGGATCAAGTTTAGCTAAAAAGGACTGATTTTTATCACTTAAGGCCTCTCAACACATCTGAAAGGACAACTTATTTTGTCTATAACTTCACATGCATCAACTTGGAAAATCTAGGGACCAAAAGACCTTCATAAAGCTAAAAAGTCTAGATCTAAGGTAAATAAGCATAAAGGTTCAATCTTTTTACCTTCTGGAGCTCTAATGGTGTAACCCAACCTCAGATCCAAGGCCTTGTTTTCCTCCTCTAGCTTCTTGGTGCTATAACTCCACTCTCCAAAGCTCAAGATGCACACTAACTCACTCTTCCCACACAAACTAGGGTTTTAGGGCGTTCTCTGAGGTATGGAGACTGGGGTGAGGGTAAAGAATGAGCCATGAGGGTGTTTATATAGTCCCAACTCCGAATATTAGGGTTTTTAGCTGATGCGAGTACGCCCAGCGTACATAGGCTTACGCTTAGCGTACCCTTCCCCCTTTGGCCCAAAGTTTCAACTTTAGGTCCCTACACTTCTCGGCACTCAACATAACTTCTCCGAGGGCTATAAAAGAAAATAATCAAAAGAAGGCGGGATTCGAAATATACCTGCTCGGTTCGACGCGTTACATTTATTGGATTATTATATATTAATAATTATCATTTTTAATATATAATATTTATGTATTAATTAATACTAGAAAAGAGCCCCCGAGTAGTGGGGGTTAGATTTGGATTAAACCAATCATAAACGCCAGGTTGTCTTCCATGGATTGGTCGTCTGATTTGCCTGAAATGGTAGCCACAGTAAACTACATTGTTATTATCTGCAATTCTCCTGTACATTGATCATATATCATATTTTAAAAACTGAACTAAGATATTAGATTCAACCATTGAAAAATAAAACAGTTATGGAATCAGAGATTAAAATCGATAAAAAAAAAAAAAAAAAAAAAAAAAAAAAAAAAAAAAAAAAATCATACATGGAGCACGAATTGAATGTTGAAATTCAACTTAAGTAGATACAATTGATATCAAACTAACAAACTTGAAATCAAAAGGTCAGTCACATAAATTTATGCAGCAAACCTTGAAATTAGAGAAAGAAAATTATACGAAGCAATTGAAAATGAACTTAAGTGAGACTACCAGAGGTTAGATTGATAACAGATGGCAAAAAGAATAGATTCATTTATAATTAATATATATGAAAATGACAACAAACTTTTAAGCATATGCACACTATATATTCGATGTTGCCTCTGACCATCATACAGACAAGTATACTTTTTTAGTTACTTACCAGATTTTTCGATTATTAGATTATTGATAGATGTCGCAAAAGTTTTATCATACATGTATAGCTTTATTCGAGTTTTGACAAATGTAGAAGAGTATTATCAGCAGTGTGGTTCTGTTTAGTTGTAATTATATAGAATGATCCAATAAGTCATCTGAAATGTGTAAACGGACAAATTTACCCTTGGATATGTAAAATTGTGTAATTACCCTACATGGTATGCTTAAAGGATGTCGATGTCCAGTTTTAGATATTTCCATAAGATCTCACAGAATACATCACACCAACCAACACAACCTAAATCTTTGCAAATTTCTTGTTAATCTCTATAAAGACTGCAAATCTTATGCAAAAGGTTTATTTTTAATGTTAGAATGTGAGAATATCGAAATCTTGACTCAAGCAACAAACAAATCAATAATGGTCGTTACAAACTACAAATATGCTAAAGAATAAAACACAAGAAAACAAATCAGGTAAGATAGAATGAAGTCTGAATCCAACTTAGATGAAAAAAGAGCTCAAATACGTATAAAAGGGGAATGAAGAGTCAAAAATAAACATTCAACTAGGGCTTTAGATACGAAAAAATTGTACCGTTTACAGATGGTGATGATGTAGCTGCCTATGGGAAGACGATTGAACATAACTGGTCCGAGAAATCATGAAGAAATATAAACAAATTGATTTGCTTCTTTATCTCAGTTAACTGTCAATAGCTTGCTTGTGAAGAACACATATTTAGAATAAATGAAAAGAGAGAAATCACAAATAAAAGAATCACAAACAGTGAAAAGCATAAGAAAGATCGGCCTAAAATGATAGTCACGATAACAACTTCAGGCCGAATGACTTCCTGATGAGCCTTCACTAAGAGGAGTTGTACGATTGTTGTACGATAAGATCAAAGCCCTAAGACAAATTGGTAAGTCGATTGAATATCAAAACCTAGAAATCATGCTTTAGATTCTTAAAATCGAACCAAAATAGAAATAGAGATAGTCAATCAACGTACCCCAATTCAATGCTCAAAACCATGGCCTATAGTGCATGTCTTCCATGAAAGAGACCCGATTGAGAAACCTGGAATAAGAAACCAAAAATTAAAAAAACAACAAAGTGAATCATGTCATAATATGAAAATAAAGAAATCAAAATAAATTGGTAACTAAAAGCGTCAAGCATCTTCTGCCATTTACCTTCACAAAAGGGAAACAATTTAAAGCCCTAAACCGAAAGCAAGAGGGTCAATCGAAGAAAGCACAGGTTAAGGACCAACAATATCAATTCCAGAAGAAAGATTAACACATTCCTCAATCGGAGGATGTGGCAGGCAGTGAGGGGTGGAATTGAAATGAGAGAGAAGGTTGGAGAGGAAATCATTCAATGGAGAGAGGCGGTGATTATCATCTGTTGTCGGTGTCTAATTGAAAGAATGGGGAGGCTGAAGCAGTGAATAACACGTATACCACCCAAAAGCTACAGTAAATAAATAAAAAAATATAGAAAGAAAGTATTTTTGGTCCAATAGAAAGAAAAATAAAATTAAAAAAAAAGGTTGATCCAATCAACAGTAAAAACTGTTGAATTAGGAACTCTTTTTTATATAATTATATAACTAGTATTATTTTATTCGATTATAAAATTCTTGTAAATAATTCTTTTTTATTTCTTTTTTATGGATTAATTCTTTTTTATTAAATTACTATATATTAATAAATATTATTTATAAATATATAATATTTATATATTAATAAATATTACTTTATTAGATTATTAATTTCTTTTAGTTAATTTTTATAATTTATTTTTATTGGATTAATTCTTTTTTGTTTTTTGTTTTTTTTGGATAACACCATCATTCTAATATATTTTAAAAAATTTTCATTCATCTCACCACTATTAGATATAAATCGGGTTAAGAATCACATGTTGAGTTATTAAAAAAAAACAAAAATAGCTAGAAAAAATAACAGCATAATATCAATTTGAAAAACAATAAACTAAAAACAATTTAATCAACACTCTATTTAGATTTTTAAATGATTATTATGTAATTTTGATTTTGTATGATAATTTGTATGTTTTTATAATTATTCAACAATTTCATCTATCACAGTATAGAACAGTAAGGTAATATTATCATTTTTTTTTTTTTATTTAACACAATCAATCAAATGTACAATCAAACCTAATTT